TTTTTTAGTCTAATAAACTCCTTTTTCATTGTGATTGCCATCTCAGTAATAATTTAGTTCGAGTGCAGTACAAATATAACCTGACAGTGACATTCCGATAACAGTCCGATGTGTAAAAGTAAAAAAAAGCATAAATCAGCTTACTTTTAGGTATAATGCTGTGGTCAGAGGATCGACTACAATTCCGGCATAATTACTAAAATCTTTGAGCGTAGATGCGTGAAACTGCGTTGCAAAAATTCAGAGAAATCCTGAATTATTTGTAAATGTGATAATCTAATCAGAGAATTTTATCTTGACATGTTGCATGGCTTCTGTGAAACCTAATCAACCAATTCTGTTTAACGTACTTCTTCGAATAAGCACCTGGGCACCTCTTCAAAATCTCGGCTGAAAAAAGGGAAGCTCATTGGAATGAGGGTGCTTCATAGGAGTGGCAACTTATTAAGAAACTGTTCGCATGTCCTGATTCAGCTGTAGTTGAATCTTAAAATTTTGAGATAACGTGGCAATAGGAACAGGTTTTATTTGTATTTAGGAAAGCGAGGAGAAGAGGCCGGGGGACTGGATTATCAACTTGTACTGAATGCTTTCTTAAAAAGGATTGTTCTCTCTTAGTTGTAGCTAGGTTGCTACAAGATCTGATTGTTAACGGCAACGAGTACTATAATATAGGAGCAGCATGAACAAAAGCACGATCCCCAAGTATAGAGCAGGTGACCGTGGAACGAACAGAAGAGATTTTGTACACCAGCGAAGAGCATAGTTGGCGGCAAGTTTTAGAGATAACAGATATTACATTTGCTTAAAGGCATAAAAACATAAAGAAGCAAATTTTAAATTGAACTCTGAATGATACAGGAAGCAAGTGTAGGTCTAGGAGAGCCGGTGTAATGTGTTTAAATTTCAGAACACGTTAGCTGAATGTGCTTGTTTCGTTTCGTGTGATCAGTGAACCTTTTTGAACCCTAACCTTTCTTTTTGTGGAACGAATCTTATTGTCAAGTTGCTTTGGAGGCACTCCTATTAATATTTCACGGCAAACACTGCTGTATAAACTTTACATAAAAATGACGAACATTTAACTCATATAACCTGTTTAGTTGTCCATGACATGATGTGATATTTTTGATGATCTGAACTCCGAGTTCTAGGCAAGCAGGTAGTTCAAATTAATTCTGTCCTACCGCCATTTTCTTTTAAGAGTTTGGAAAGCATTCTCTTTGTCATATTTTTTCATCATATTCACAAGAGGACAGTTTTTCTACCAACATGCATCTCACGCTATTTGCCGTTTTTAAGTCACTTTTTCACGCTAAGGAAATCAGTGAAATCAAACAGTGGAGCTTGTTTTTACAACGATCAGCCTCAGGTCTGGAATCATCAGTCTCTGTCGAAAACTGCGATAATTAATTCCTCGTGCGTTGTTATCAGTGCCATATGTTAATGACAAGTCAACGTTCCACATTTTTTGAGAGCATTGACTGAGCATTAATTACAGTAGTTATCTTCTTTTTGGCGAAGATTTTTCTCATAAAATGGATTAAAGGCAGTTTGAAATTATAAAAGTTTATCTCTATACTGATATGTGGCAGTCTATAATGTATTCACTTGTGTCCTAT